TTACGCGGAGGCCGTAGAGGGTCCCTACTCCTCTCAGTGGCAGGCAGCTATGGATGCAGAGATGGCTTCCTGGAAGTCCACAGGCACCTACGTTGACGCGGTTCCCCCTCCTGGGGCGAACATCGTCAGTGGCATGTGGATCTTCAGGGTGAAGCGGCCGCCGGGCTCTCCACCTGTCTTCAAGGCACGGTACGTTGCTCGTGGCTTCAGTCAGCGGCAGGGAGTTGACTACTTTCAGACCTTCTCTCCCACCCCGAAGATGACTACTCTTCGGGTGCTGCTGCACATAGCCGCTCAGCGCGACTACGAGCTTCACTCTCTCGACTTCAGCACTGCGTTCTTGCAGGGTAAACCTGCACGAGGAGATCTGGCTTCGCCGTCCACCTGGCTTCACTGGGACTTTCCCTCCTGGCACCCAGTGGAGCCTCCGGCGGCCAGTCTACGGTCTCCGCCAGGCACCGCGTGAGTGGCACGACACACTGAGGACTACGCTTGCGGCTCTTGGGTTTGCTCCTTCTACTGCTGACCCGTCGCTGTTTCTTCGCACCGACACTTCCCTGCCGCCGTTCTACATCCTCGTGTACGTCGACGACTTGGTCTTTGCCACAGCGGACACTGCTGGACTCGCCTACGTGAAGTCCGAGCTGCTGAAGAGACACACGTGCACAGACCTGGGTGAACTGCGCAGCTACCTTGGCTTGCAGATCACTCGGGACAGAGCACGCCGCACCATTACCTTGACTCAGTCACACATGGTGCAGCAGGTCCTTCAGCGCTTCGGCTTCACGTACTCCTCGCCTCAGGCCACTCCTCTGCCTACTCGCCACTCACTCTCAGCTCTGCCTTCGGATGAGTCCGTAGAGTCGAGTGGTCCGTATGCAGAGCTTGTTGGCTGCCTCATGTACCTGATGACCTGCACACGACCTGACCTTGCATACCCTCTGAGCATTCTTGCACGCTATGTTGCTCCTGGGAGACACAGACCGGAGCACATGGCTGCAGCTAAGAGGGTATTGCGCTACCTGTGCAGTACGTCGGGCATGGGGCTAGTGCTTGGAGGGCGGAGTCCAGTGGTCCTTACCGGCCACGCGGACGCTTCTTGGGCTGACGACCAGGCTACGCAGCGGTCGTCACAGGGTTACACCTTCAGCCTTGGTTCCGGCTCTGTCTCGTGGCGGTCTACTCGCTCGTCTTCGGTTTCTCGGCTCCAGTTGTGAGGCTGAGATCTACGCCGGGGCCATGGCTGCACAGGAGCTTCGCTGACTCACCTACCTGCTGACTGACCTTGGAGAGCCGCCTCGTTCTCCTCTAGTGCTGTACGTAGACAACAAGGCTATGCTGGCCTTGTGTCGAGAGCAGCGCTTGGAGCACAGAACGAAGCACATTGCTCTCCGCTACTTCCTTGCTCGTGAGCTGCAGCAGCGTGGTCAGTTGCGACTTGCGTACGTGGCCTCTGAGGCCAACACTGCTGATGTGTTCACCAAGGCACTCGCGCCTTGTGACCATCAGCGCTTTTGCACCCAGCTGGGTCTTGTGCCTGTCTTGCCTCACTTGCTCTCCTCTTGACTTCACTTGTACTGTGACATATATATATGCCTGCTCTTGTTTGTCTAGTTTTATATATATGTCTGTACTCCTGCATGTGAACTGGCCTCTGGCCCTACTCTTGTGCTCGGACTGTGTGGTGACTTTGTGATCCACCCTGAGCTTGTTTTGCTTTGCTTGACTGGTCTTGTGACCCCTTGTTCTCCCCCACTTTGCCTATGGGGGTGTGTCAGATTTATATGACATAGTTGCTGTAGGCTATAGTGGGGTAGCACATATGGGGTACAGGGTTTCTAGGGTTGTATTTGTACCCAATCTTTCCTTAGTCATCTCATTCCTGCTTACTCATTTCACAGATCGTAGAGATGAAAATGTATTTACGTGGACATTCACCCAGTCTACACGGCGGGAGCACATTGGTACGGGCGGTCGCCAGCCGATCTCGTGCAAGCCAATTGGCATGCACTCTATTTGTCGATAAGAATCAGCATGGATGTGCTGCGTTGTATGCTCCTCGTTGGTCAATGCACGCGTCTAGTTAATGAGCAAGTGTATGTTGCTCAATGCACGAAAACTTGTCCAGCGTTGTGCACGAAACGGCGGGCGCAGGCCTCACGTTTTCAGAGTAAATTACTCTGTTTCTCTGAAAATCAGAGTCATTTTTTAAAGTAACTCTGTACCCGCTAGGTAATTTTTTTGGGACTTCCGATTTCTTTGATTTGTCAGAGTTATGCTGTAGTTTACTCTGAGGCCTCTGGGTTTTTTTTTTCGGGGACCGAATTTACTCTGTATAGGAAAACCTGCCGGCCCCCCTCCCCTCCCCACCCGCCCCTGCGTTTAGCGGGTTTTCCCCGAATCGTCGAGATCATTCTCCTGATTTCTGTCGTGTGTTGGCGGCAATATGAGCGCTGATTGGCTACCGTAGTTTGACAACTTTCCCAGCCAGCGCACGATGCCAGCCAGTCCCCTATCTCTTTATGTCTGAAGTGAACGTCGACGTTTCCCGACGAAACTTTGAGGGACGTCGAGGAATCCTGACGGTCGGAACGCTCAGTCCGAGGGTTGAGATTTGTCAGCATTCCCCGACGGAACTGTACATCCGTCGAAATTTCACTTCAGACACGCTCTTAGTCAGATTATCGGTGCCGCCAACACCTCACTCTGAAACATCGCAGTGAGGGGGGAAACGTGGGCGACGCGGAAACGAAACATAATGCAAGTACAAAAGGCGTAACAAAAACCTATTAAGGTCATGGTACACCAAACTTAACTAACATCAGAGTAGAGAAAAATATTACTCTGACGTGCCTGGTTTTTTTTTTGAAGTATAGGGTTACTCTGACAAATCAGAGTAAGGCGCAGGAACAACCCTAGATTTCAGAGTTGGGAAAAAAAACTACTCTGGAAATCAGAGTACCTAAAATCCAAAAATAGGCCCTGGGCGGGCGCCTATTGGTACAAATGTTGCGTGGTTGGAAACGAAGAGATCCAATGAACATTAGCGCGGAGATCACCGCCTTATACCTGCCTGCCATTTGTACCACATTTGTCTTTTCAGCTGACGCGGAAACGTAAAACACGAAGGTCGGACCACGTGTACGCACATTTGGTGCATGGTTTGTCATCCTGTGTGGCGCTCGGTTGGCAACTACGTTCACACTTGTGGATAATAAGCGTGAACAATTTTGAGGTGTTGGAGTCACCCCAGTGGTCGTTGCTCGCTCGGCGCCACATACAGCAATCGCATGGAATCAAATGTTCATTCACTTCCCTGAAATGGCAATTGGCTATTGGTGCGTGTTTGATAACGTGTAATGACAACATCTCTCGTGTCAATGTGTAAACTAGCCGTGTACCTTCCTGCCATTTGGCGCATGAATGACAGATCCCCCGCCATGTATTGGCTTATGTTCGCGCTGCGACGCTCAAAAGAGCGTCAGTAGAGTCCCGGGAGGTTTACAAGTGCAGTTACCTGACTGCCATTTGGCGCTCAAATGTTGTCGGTGATAAAATGCTCATGGCTAGGTTCGAGCCAAAATTTTCCACGTAGGTTTGGGCTCCCTCGGAAATTGAGGTCTGGTTCCACGAATACTGGAGGCGACCGTGTGAAATCCTGGCAACATTTTCGAGGTGACCGTACACTAATAGCTACACTCAGTTTTCCGATACGAATTGTCGGGAGCGCGGGAAGCGCGGGACAGAAGGTGGAGCGCGTGTCTTTTGGGTTGTGGAAAATTTTGAGCGCGATGAAAAAAATTCACGAGGGCAAAGCCCGCGCCGCGGCAATTCTCTCGGAAATACTGCCGCGATGTGTGAGGTTCAAGTATTTGTGCATGCTTCCGAGGACAATCCGAAATTTTCCGCTAAGAACTGTCTCAGTCTGCACTTTCAACCCACGACTTCACTAGTAACAATACTTTCCGTATCACCGCACACAGCAGTAATAACATAACTTCACCGGTTAAGAAAGCATTCATGTTAAAATAGAGTTGGTATTCTGTGGAACTAAGTGCGATTCTGCTATCGAACCATCTACCAAGAATGCGGGCTTCAGATTCGGCATGTGATTTGAACGAAGTGCTGATTCTGACTCTGAGGTTACTGGTAGAACAAAAATAAATTGGCATGTCTCCTGTTGCCACGTGTGGTGGTGACATTTTGCCTAAGCTTGTGGTTCGTCTTCAACCGTGCACAACTCAAAAGTATCTCGCAAAGTTCCCCCCAGACCAGACCAGAGCACCAATACTCTCCCCCTCCAAGCGTCATCGCATTGCACCGACCAACAACACTGATGAGCCGCATGACCCATGCTCAAGATAAATTTCCAATGATTTACAGCATACGCTTCCAGAGTTACCGTACCACATCATACACTTCCAGGATTACAACAGAACACACCCACAGGGTTACCACAGCACACACCCACAAGGTTGTCAGAATCCCAACCACTAGACCATTGGGATAAAAGGGCTTGTTTAAGTAGCGGGTCAGTGCGCCCATAACCCCCCAGGCAACCGTGCCTGTAACCCTTCCCTAGGATCAATCGGGGATCACCAGTGGACCTCTGACACCCCCCCGCACTGGGATGCCCGAAGTGCATACACCGGGATTCGAACCCGAGACCTTCGCTCTGATACCATGTCAGAATCCCAACCACTAGACCATTGGGATAAAAGGGCTTGTTTAAGTAGCGGGTCAGTGCGCCCATAACCCCCCAGGCAACCGTGCCTGTAACCCTTCCCTAGGATCAATCGGGGATCACCAGTGGACCTCTGACAAAGGTTACCACAGCACACACTTCCAGAGTTACCACAGCATACACTTCCTAGATGACCACAGCCTGGGATCAATTACCTAGTAGCAAAGCTCCTCCATCTCGCAAAGCATAATGCTCTCTTCTCTCACCTAAAGTCGTCCCTTCTTCCGCACCCCCACTCACCTCGCACCCTGCTCCCTCACTCCCCCACTCCTCCCCCGAACACCTTACCCCATGCGAGCAGTGCCTTGGCTGCTCCATCTCGCTTTGCCTCCGCCACTGTCGGCCCCATGCCCGTGCCCATCCTCCTCCCTGCTGCATACACTCGCACCCTCTCTGTCACGTGGGGCGTGAGTGTGTGTTGCCTGTCCCTATGAAGCTGCTTGCCATAAGCAAAGGGTGTTCACATGGTGACGGGTGGAGGGGGAAAGAGGGTGTGGAGGCAAGGTATGGACAGGAAAAATGGGTGAAGGGGCGCGATAGGTAAGGGAAAAGGTTGTATGGGGGGATAAGGGGATTAGTGACTAAGATGCCAGCATCCGCCAAGAAGATGGCCTGCCACTTCAGCCAGCGCTGGTCAGTGGCCCTCCAGCACTCCCAGGCGAACGCCCTGCACACCAAGGCCAGGGCTGGGATTGAGGCAGCGCACCCCCAGATGGCAGCGGACCCATGGCCGCTGCACCTAGGGGACATCCTCCACACGTTGGAGGGCTAGAGGGTCACTCAGGGGGGGGGGGGGGGAAGAGGGGTGAGTTAATGGGCTTAAGGGATTGAGGTCATAATGGATAGAACTGCATGTTTGTACCCCTGCAGAATTAATACAACGGACCGTTTGAGGGAAGGGGTCGGATAGAGAACAAACGAGCATTCTCAAGCAGAGAAAGCCCATGCAAGTGCCCTTTCTTCTCCCCTCCCAGTGGAGTGGAGCGTGTAGCACGGTGAAGCCTATAAACCTTGATGATGTTTCCACTCATACGCACTGGTACTGTGGGACGAGCCTCATGTGCCAGAGAGTCAGCTCCTGCAGGCAAGCCACGGGGTCATATTGCTCTGAAGAATCCATTCTCCTTGAAATCACTTTTGAGAATTCTCAAAAGTGATTTCAGGCAAGCCACGGGGTCATACTGCTCTGAAGAATCCATTCTCCTTGCTCCTGCAGCATCGCCCCCCCTCACATCGACCATCCTCTCGTCGCCCACCACCCTCACATCGCTCCCACAGTCCTGCTGGAAATGCTGCAGCCGCTGCCGGTGCTCATGCCCAGGTTCTTGCTCATACTGCTGCCCAAACTCCAAGTTCTGTGTGTGTGGAGCAACAGTGCGCGAGTCGACTAGTGAGGGCAGCAGGCGTGTCACAAAGGCTGCCGCTGCTTCCAGGCCCTAATGGGGGGGGCAGGGGATTGTTAACGGGATGGAGTAGGGAATTGTTACGGGGATGGTGACGGGGATGGGGATGGGGAGGGTGACAGGGAGGGGGGGACGGGGACGGGGAGAAAGGACAGGGAAGGGGAAGGGGACAAGGGGGAGGGGACGGGGACAGGGGGAAGGGGACAGGGAAGGGGAAGAGGATGAGGAGGCGAAAGTAGACGGGGAGGGGGAAGGGGACGAGGAGGGGGAAGGGGGACGGGGGGGGGAAAGCGAATGGGGCCGGGAAGGTCAGGGAGGGAAAAGGGAACGGGGAGAGGGAACGGAATGGGGACGGGGAAGGGAATGGGGAGAGGGAAGGGAACAAGGAGCGGGGAGAGAAAGGGTAGGGGGAAGGGGGCTGGATAAGGATGGAGACGAGATGGAATGGGAGGGCATGTGCGCAGAGAGGACGGAGTGAGTGTGGACGTAGCTACACTAATGGTCCAAAGACAGTGAGTTGGGGGTTGTGGGTGGTGTAGGAGAGGGGCTTTACTGATGGACAATGAAACACCCGACCGCACTATCAACACTATCAGAAGAGGTGATAAGCAAGCGGAGCTGCCAGCCTTGAGGAGCTCTTGCTGTGAGGTTGGTGTGAGGATGGTTTGGGGGTTGTGTGAGAAGCACTGACCTTTTCCGCGTATACTGCACCAACAAGAGCCTGCATAGTACAGGCAACTAACGAAGGCTGCAGTAACGGGTAAAAAAAGGGACCACGCACAGGAACAATGCAGAAAGACAGTCCAAAGCGTGAATAAGCAGATTTGCTATCAGGCACTTTTGCTTAATTGGATCTCTTGAAAACGTCTGTTTTATCACACACTCTATCACCACCACAGAGAAATGTAATGTAACACCATACGAAACCAGTCAGTCCCCTCTCCAGGTAAGATCTCGTCAGACACGACATGGTGCGATCATACAATAACATCCATGGTAACATGATGTGATAACACCAGATGGACTCATCACATGCCCAGCTTACACCACACCACACCCACGCCCACACACTGCGTGTGATGAGTCGATTTTTAAGTCGACTTAAAAATCCACCCACGCCCACACACTTCCCCATCCCCACCCTCAGCCACACTCCGCACTATACCTCCACTTGACCACCCCCAACGGGCACGGCACGCTTGCCCTGCATGAGCAACATGTCTGAGAAGCTCAGCATGGCGGCCTCAAACTCAGAGCCCCCCTTCCTTCCTATACCCGTTCCCCCACCCCCACCCCCACCAAACATGCCTACCTCCATTTGATCCCCTCCCATGGCCAATTTGAGAAGCAGCACATCTGAGAAGCTCAGTATGGTATCAGGCAGTCCCACAGCCGCCCCTCCTATGCCCGCCAGACTGCTGTCGCTCACCTGAGGGGAGGGGGGGAGGGCAGGGACAGGGCGGGGAGCGGGAAATTGGGGTGGGAGGACAGGGCGGAGGAGGAGAACAGGGGTGGGGGAGCGCAACAGGGCAATATCTGAGCTACGTGTGAGGTTTTTGCAGCACTGGTGCAAAACAGACTCTTGTTGCTTGGTAGGGGAGGTGTGAAGAAGGGGACCTGGCGGGAGAACGGGAGCAGTGAGGGGAAGGGAGACAGGAGGCGGGGGAAGGGAAGTAGTTCGTGGAATGGGAACGGGAGAGGGAAGCAAACGTGAGAGAGGGAGGGAGAGGGGGGAGGGGCAGGAGGGGAAAAGGGGCGAAGGCCATAGCATGCCAATTTCTGAGGCGCCTACAAAATGAGGGGCAGGAGGGGAAAGGTTGACGAAGAGCACAACATGCCCTCTCAGGACACAAGCCCTCTCAGGACTCGCCTCATGAGGTGCGGGATTCGAAGACATGGGGAGTTTGAGAGAGATGGAGATGGATCAACATGGACAGAGGTGGAATGGGCTGGGAGAGGAAGGTGGAGAGGAGGGATGGTGAGTATGACACGGACGGGGAGTGAAGGTGGGGCGGGGAGGAAGGGAGGGAGGGACGGAGGGAGGGACGGACGGAGGGAGGGAGGAAGGCGAGCAGGAAGGGCTTTTACAAATCCTCAGAAGTAAATTTTGTGTAGAGGAGAGAGAAAAATTATTGACACGGACAGGGAGTACAGGTGGTCGAGGGGAGGGAGGGAGGGAGGGAGGGAGGGAGGGAGGGAGGGAGGGAGGGAGGGAGGGAGGGAGGGAGGGAGGGAGGGAGGGAGGGAGGGAGGGAGGGAGGGAGGGGAGGGAGGGAGGCGAGCAGCGTGGGTATGGAGTAGGAGAGGCGAGGGAGTTTAAGGAAGATGTGCAAGCATGCATGAATGAAGAGAGGGAACGTAAAGCTGTGAAGAGAGAGAACCGAGGAGAAAGGATATGAGAAGAGGGATATGAAAAAGGCAAAGAAGAAAGGGGATCTAAGAGAGGGCGTTGAAGAGCGGGAAAGTGAAGGGACTTACAAGCTGGTTTTTGCGTGAAATGAGATCACCCTGGTAAAAGGCATAGTGTGGGTGGGGGAAGGGGTGGGAACAAGGAACTGATTTAGCCCCTTTTTTAGAATTCTCATGAATAAGAAGAGACTAACATTAGCTCTTTTTGTCACTCTCGAACTACTTTGACGTGCCTCAGAAGTTGGAATTTCGCAAGAGCATGTTTGTGCACTCCCGAATCAAATAAGAGAGAGAGAGAGAGAGATTTAGAGTCAGAGTGAGAGCGCGGGAAGGAAAAACGGAAGCATAACAAGGAAAAGAGAAGGAAGGACGGAAATACCGCGAACTGAGTGAGCATGGCAGGTGGGGGGGTTGGGGAAAGAACCATAGGAACACAACAGGTCAAGAAGAGGGTGTGAGGAACCTTCTAACTCAAGGATAAGCAAGCGCCACTACCGTTCTTCTCCCCCACTACCGCCCTTTTTGCAACCCCTCAAAAGTCATCCTCCAATACGTACTCTCTCTTTTCCCGCCACTTTTTCCCCACCTGCACCTCCCCTCTCCCAACCCTCCCCACGCACCTCTATTCTCTGCCAGCGGCCGGGTGGCAACGGCAGTCTCTTGGCGATGTTGTCAGGGAAGGACCACCACACGTCGGGCCTGCTGCTGCTGACGTGGACCAGCGAATTCGTGCCATCTCCAGTTGACATGTGATGAAAAGGTTTAAGATTTACGTATCTCTTGTTGCTTTTCTGCTCCTGTCCCATCGCTTTCCCGTTCCCGTACGCACCTTCGATACTAAGTCAAATATGGGGTTGAACATGTGGTGGACTAGATATATAGGCGTTGTGCCACGTGTCGTAAGCTCAGCGCCTGCGTCTGAGCGTGCATTCCTCAAGTATCCTTGGCTGGAACGCGGCTGATCACGCATCATCCGTAGACACGTCAGCACGTGACGTTGTCGCGTCACGCTGTCGTCAGGCATCACTGCTGCAGGTGCTGTCAACAGAAGGTTCCTGGATCCTTCCTTCCAGGCTCGTCTGCCAGTCCATAATCTATTTACAACGCATTCGACTGACAAGCCACGAGGTGCGGCGGTAAAAAGAACCATGCCGTGCTGATAGCCCGTCCACCTGGTTTCCCAAAGTTAAAAGACGCCGTCGGCGAGGAATCCGCAAAAACAACGAAACTGCTCTTGCCACGGCGAAACAGATGTGGAGCTTTTCTTTCAGCACAACGACGAGATGCGTCTACCGGAATGAGAGAAGCTCATGCGGATAGAGCGGATAGCAGTACACGGTGTACTATGATGAGTCACGACATGTAATGAGGTTGGGTCGATAACACACTACACGGGGTCTTCATAGATAAGCGGTCTCATATCGCAGATGAAGCTCATACATCTGACGAGGCGCGTCGAGGATCTTACTAAGTGCGAAGAACTGTCAGATGCCTGAAACCCATTAGACGCTCCGCTAAGAACTGTCTCCATCCACACTTTCAACTTCAAATTTGAACGGTTCTGCACAGAAGTATTCACATGAGATACCAGGTGAATTATAAAAAACCATGGATAGGGGATTTTGTTTTACATGTGTAACCTGTGAAATGGGCTTCGTCAAGCATATAAAAATAAAGGCATTTCTCTATTTGAAATCAGCTCAGCCAACATGCCATTTTTCTTAGTTCTTACAACAAATATAGAAGCAGGAAATGCATAACCATTTTTCCTAGCCCGGCTGTAAGGAATTTTCTCGATATTCCTTAGCGCGCCCTGCAACATCGCATACAGCAGCAGCCGTTGTTCACCCGTTACTGCTAACGGGGTTTCCCCATGGCAGGTGCACGAGGCATGGTGCAATGATGACTAGAGCTCGGCAGAAATGTTGAGAATAGGGCTTGGAATGCCTGATATGCCGGTAGTCTGAGCACAGTATGGTTAAATAGTTTCATTGTTAGCGTTGCTAACCATTGCTCCTACTGCAAATGCTGAGCAGTCGCTAATAAGACATCGAGGTAACATCCTCCCTTTAAAAGACACAATCTTGATAAACAATAGAAGAAATCCTTGTTGTCATGCCAGGCGAGCTTAGACCCTGGGTTTGACGCGCTGTTAATGAGAACCTTGAGTACTGATAGTTGAGATAACAACAGGTTAGACTTGAGAGTCGATACAATGTTCGTCAGTTGAACACCTAGGTTGTACCAATCTCTTCGTCTTAACGAGGCGAATTCAAATATGTTGTTCTTAAAGCCAGCTGACACGTAGGCTTCACGCGCGTTGACTTCCAGGCTACGCAAAGGTGGCCATGGCGGCATTGGTGGTTCCATCGAAGAATTGTCAATAGGGTTTTGTGTGTATAACGGGGTTATACTGTGTTGTAATTTGGACAGTATTTCTTAGGGCGTGTCTGAAGTGCAAACGTCGAGTTTCGTACATTTTCGTCGACGAAACTCATCCGTCGGACCCACGCGTGTTGGTGTCTGAAGTGCAGCTTGACATCCCTCGATGAAACTCGACATTCGTACACATGCCGAGGGATGTCGAACAGTGATACCGGGCAGCATTTCGCACCCGCTACGGCAGTTACGAATATACTGTGATGCCGTTCGGATTGACGAACGCACCCTCGACCTTCCAGCTCACCATGAATGGGGTGTTTCGGGACATGCTGGACAAAAAGGTCATTGTTTACCTGGACGACATCCTGGTGTACAGCAAGATTCGAGAGCAGCATTTACATGACTTAGAGGAGGTTTTCCGGCGCTTGCAGCAGAACCGGCTGATTACTAAGGGCTCTAAGTGCGAGTTCATACAGTCGGAGCTGGAGTTCCTGGGGCACGTGGTTTCAGGGGAGGGCAATAAAATTGGCCCTCGCAAAGTAAAAGCGATTTCGGAGTGGAAGCCGCCCACGAACATCACGGAGTTGCAGAGTTTCCTCGGCTTCGTTAACTACATCCGCCGTTTTGTACCGAATATTGAGAAACTTAGAACGAGAATAAATTGACTAAGGAATGAAAGTGATACAAATGTGAAACCCTAGAATAGTGTACCCCTTAGTATCTAACCCGCTACAGCCTACACAGGCTAGATCATATAAGTTTGACACACCCCAATAGCCAAATTGGGGGAGAACAAGGGGTCACAAGACCAGTCAAGCAAAGCAAGGCAAAGCAGGCTCAGGGTGGATCACAACGTCACCACACATTCCGAGCAGAAGTTCAAGGCCACAAGGCCAGTTCACATGCATGAGTACACACATATATATAACACTAAACAAGCAAGAGCAGGTATATATATATGTAACAGTACAAGCAAGGTCAAGAAGTGAGCAAGTGAGGCAAGGTAGGTACAAGACCTAACATAGTACAGAAGCGCTGATGGTCACAAGGCGCAAGTGCCTTGGTGAATATATCAGCAGTGTTGGCCTCAGAGGCCATGTAAGCAAGACGCAGCTGACCGCGCTGCTGCAACTCACGAGCAAGGAAGTAGCGAAGAGCGATGTGCTTCGTTCTGTGCTCCAGTCTGTGCTCCCAACACAAGGCCAGCATGGCCTTGTTGTCTACGTACAGAAATGGAGGAGAACGAGGCGCCTCTCCTAGGTCAGTTAGTAGGTAGGTGAGCCAGCGTAGCTCCTGTGCAGCCATGGTCCCTGCGTAGATCTCAGCCTCACAACTGGAGCCGAGAACAGAAGACGAGCGGGTAGACCGCCACGAAACAGAGCCGGAGCCAAGGCTGAAGGTGTAACCCTGTGACGACCGCTGCGTAGCCTGGTCGTGATCCCAAGAAGCGTCTGCATGACCAGTGAGGACCATTGGACTCCGCCCTCCAAGCACAAGCCCCATGCCCGACGTACTGCACAAGTAGCGCAACACCCTCTTCGCTGCAGCCATGTGCTCTGGTCTGTGTCTCCCAGGAGCAACATAGCGTGCAAGAATGCTAAGAGGGTATGCAAGGTTAGGTCGAGTGCAGGTCATCAGGTACATGAGGCAGCCAACAAGTTCTGGGTAAGGACCACTCGACTCTACGGACTCATCCAAAGGCAGAGCTGAGAGCGAGTGGCGAGTAGGCAGAGGAGTGGCCTGAGGCCAGGAGTACGTGAAGCCGAAGCGCTGAAGGACCTGCTGCACCATGTGTGACTGAGTCAGGGTAATGGTGCGCTGTGCTCTGTCCCGGGTGATCTGCAAGCCAAGGTAGCGGCGCAGTTCACCCAAGTCTGTGCACGTGTGTCTCTTCTGCAGCTCGGACTTCACGTGGGCGAGTCCAGCAGTGTCAGCTGTGGCAAAGACCAAGTCGTCGACGTACACGAGGATGTAGAACGGCGACAAAGAAGTGTCGGTGCGTAGAAACAGCGACGGGTCGGCAGTAGAAGGAGCAAACCCAAGAGCCGCAAATGTAGTCCTCAGTGTGTCGTGCCACTCACGAGGTGCCTGGCGAAGACCGTAGACTGGCCGCCGGAGGCTCCATTGGGTACCAGGAGGAAAAGACCCAGTGAAGCCAAGTGGGCGGCGCAGCCAGATCTCCTCGTGCAGGCTGCCCTGCAAGAAAGCAGTGCTGAAGTCAAGAGAGTGAAGCTCGTAGTCACGGTGAGCAGCTATGTGCAGCAGTACCCGAAGAGTGGTCATCTTCGGGGTGGGAGAGAAGGTCTAAAAGTAGTCAACTCCCTGCCGCTGACTGAAGCCACGAGCCACGTAGCGCGCCTTGAAGACAGGCGGAGAACCCGGCGGCCGCTTCACCCTGAAAATCCACATGCCACTGACGATGTTCGCCCCGGGAGGGGGAACCTCGTCGACGTAGGTGCCTGTGGACTTCCAGGAAGCCATCTTTGCATCCATGGCTGCCTGCCACTGAGAGGAGTAGGGACCCTCTATCGCCTCCGCGTAAGAGCACGGAGTCGGGATGTCTGGTGCATCCGGGTCTCCCTCAGGGGCAAGCAGCATGGACACGAGATGATGTGAAGCAGCAGCAAAGCACTGCAACTCCTCCTGCCTGTCCTCAAGGACGTCCGTGCCAAGGGCACACTCACCCGCGACGGACGGAGGACAGACAGACTCAGACTCAGCGACAAGACTAGCAGCGTAGTCTAGGCGACATTGAGCAGCGAAGTCGACAAGCTCAGAAACTAAGGCAGACGCAGCAGCGGACTCAAACGAAGGGTCAGTGACGACAGTAGCAAGGAGACGCGTGACAGTAGGACTTGCAGTACGAAGGGAGTCCGACTCCGGGTCGGCAAGAACAGGAAGAGAGGACTCAGGAGGAGAAGGCAAAGGGGCACGCAGCGGAGCAGTGGAGGGACGCAGAGACATCCGGTGCGTACCGGGGACAGGGTGAGGACGCTGACGCGAACCACGACTACTAGTGCGAGCAGCACGGACAGGCGACGCAGGACGAGACGCAGGCTCACGACGCTCAGCAAGTTCTCCAGTAGGACCAGTGTAGGGAGAAGGAGCACGCAGAGGAGAGGTAGGCTGTAACTGTGACTCGGACGGGACAGGCGGTGGACACTCTAAGGGAGGAGCCGGACTAGCAGAGGGCGGAAGACCAAGAACCTGCTCAAGGAGCGGAACGAAGTACGGCCGCGGCCGCTCAGCACCACCAGCACCAGAAGGGACAGCACCAGCACCCCGAACGACAGCACCAGCGCCAGCAGCACCCCCAGCTCCAGTAGCGCCAACTCCAGTACCCTCAGAGGCACCAGCACCAGAGGCGCCCTCAGCGCCAACACCCCCAGCAGTTCCAGCTCCAGCCAGACCACCAGAAGACGCAGCAAGTCCAGCTCCAGCACCCTCAGTAGCACCGACGCCCGCAGCACCACCAGCTCCAGTACGAGAAGCACCCGCAGGCCCAGCAGCTCCAGTACTCCCAGTACGAGCACCTCCGGGACCCGCGGCACCAGCACCCTTAGCAGCAGCTGAACCTCCAGCACCCGCAGCACCTCCAACTCGAGTAGCTTGCCTCCAGCGCCGGGCAAACCACTCACGCAGCTCCTGTGGAGAGAGTAGCTCCCGCCGGGACGAAGCACCCGAAGAACCTCCAGGCCCAGCACCGCCAGACGTCACACGAGCAGGTCCAGTACCCTCAGACTCCGCACCCCCAGACGCAGCACCCCCAGGCTCAGCGCCCCCTGACGCAGCACCCCCAGGCTCAGCACCCCCAGACGCAGCACCCCTAGAGTCAGCACCCCCAGGCTCAGCACCCCCAGAGTCAGCACCCCCAGACCCAGCACCCGCAGGCTCAGCACCCCTAGCAGCACCAGAGTCAACAGCTACCTCGACAGGGTCCACTGCGTCGACCTGAGACACACCTGAGGGGGCAGGACCCTGAGGGGGGAGGGGGTCTATCGGAGCGGGACCTGGTGTAAGGAAGAGCGGCGGGGGGGGGAGGGACGCAGTGCGGTAGGGGAAGAGACGGTAGTAGGGAAGCGACTCGTCAATCGTGACGTCCTGGGAGGACAGAACACGGCGCGAGGTGGGGTGGTAGAACTGCCAGCCCGGCGCGTCAGGGGGGAAGCCAAGGAAGACGCAGGGAACAGCACGAGGGGACAGCTTGTCCGCAGACAAGTCGCGGACAAACGCCCGAGATCCCCAGACGCGGAACGCAGACGCATCGCCAACCTTCCCCGTCCACAGCAAAGCAGGGGAGGTCTCCGGCATGGAGACCCGGGGCTGAAGGTTGATCTGATTCGCCGCGTACCGAACCGCAAACGGCCACAGAAAATGGGGGGCAGCCGCATGGACCATGGACGTACGAGCGACGTCCATGACCATGCGAATGCGGCGCTTTGCAATCCCATTTTGCTGCGGAGAGTCCGGAAGCGTGAAGGTCTGGCAGATGCCTCGTGCACGACAAAAGGCTCGCAGAAGGTCAAAGGAGAACTCTCCGCCTCTGTCAGAGTGCAGACGCAGAACAGGAAAGTCCGAGCCGAAACTCTCTCTGAGCTGGAGACGAGCTGCGCGGATCTAGGCGATCAACATCTCAGTGACCTCACCCTTGCTGCGCAAGGGGAGGACTGCGGTGTAACGCGAGTAGTCGTCAACCACCAGCAGGAAGTAGAGAACGAGGGGAGGTAAAGACCCGACAGGGTGCCAGAAGGGGCCGGCGGACACGGTAGAACAGTGGAGAAGTGGGCAAGGACAGGACCCCCAGAGGGGTCTGCCAGGGAGACTGCCACTGGCTGACTAAGCAGCGTAAGCGTGGTGCGGTCTCGAAAAAAGGAGCGGGAAGCACCCGAGTCAAGGGTACCTGAGAGCGCAGATTCACCAGCACCTGGGGCAGCAGGCTCACTGGCACCTAGAGCAGCAGCCTCACCAGCACCTAGAGCAGCAGCCGCAATGCCCGGGTCAGGCGGAAAACACCGTTAACAGTCACCCTCATCACTAATAGTCACAGCATACATGGCAGCAAGAATAGCATCATATTTAAGATCAAATATCGGAACACTCGCCCTAAACAGCTCGCCCCAGCGAGGGATCTCAGTAGCGTTAGGGAACTGATGACGCCAAGCGTCCATCACGCGGCCGAAGCAGCGCTGGGTGGAGTGCGGACCCCCACACTGCTCACCCGCGCGCTCGCCGGTACGTAGAACGTAGGTACAGGTGCCAGCACCCCCACCCCGCTGACGAGCAGTGTACCACTCACGAAGCTGCTGGGGGGAAGGGGTCTCACGAGTGCGCTGCTGCTGCTGCTGGCGCTGACCACCACCGGAGCCGACCCTCTGCGTAGCGCCGCCCCGACCAGCTCCACCTCCGCCGCCGCTACCTCCACCACCGCCTCCACCTCCGCCACCTCCGCCCGCACCGCCACCACCGCCGCCTCCTCCGCCTCCACTGCCGCCACTAGCGCCCCCACCACCGCCACCACTCCCATCGCCACCCCCACCCCCTCCGCCGCCTCCACCGCCGCCTCCACCGCCCCCTCTTGCTAGGGGCAGACGCCGCGCCGACCGACTCAAGACCAACGAGGTCGGCCGCAGCAGCAGAGGCAACAGAGGGCAAGAGGGGGGAGAGGGAGCACCCCTCAAAGATAGGGGTACGAGGGTCACCACCAGAGGCTCCTACAGCGACTATACTCTTCTCTGCTGCTAGGAGGCGCTCCTCGAGGAGGTCAACGGTGAGAGTGGTGGGGAAAACAGAGAGGAAGTGGTCCCTGACCGAGCGAAGGGTGTCAGGGAGCCGGGTGACTATGTAGTAGAGGGTGATGTACATAGGAGGGGGGTTCTTGGCGCAGAACTCAGCAGGACGCGCAGCGCGGTAGCGAATGTCACTAGTGCGAAGGTGTGTAATGAGGTCAGCGACTGTGGGAAAAGCGGCGAGGTCAGGGAAGAGGAACGGCAGTATGAGGCGGCTATGAGCAGCAGTGGCAGGGGAAGAGTAGCGTGCAACTACAGCGTCGTACAAGGTCTGAGCACTCTTGTACTGACTAGAATGCGCGCGCTCAGCGGTCGGTAAGTGGCGGCGCACAGCAAGGCGGGCAGCAGCATTGCGCGTGGCCCACTGTGAGCGAACATTTGCGTCAGCATCAGCAGCAGGGGCAGGAGAGGCACCAGAAGTGAGGTCAAAGAGGGAGAGACCGTCTGCCCTATCGCACTGGAGGAAAAGCTGCAAATCATCTACCCAGACCTCAAAGTCAACAGCCCGACCCTCAGCGTCAAAGGTGAGAACACTGGGGGTGGCCATGACAGCAGTAGATAGGCAGTGAGCAGAGCGGGGTAGGGCAGTGCAGTGGCAGAGGCGTTGCGCTTACCAGGCAAGTGAGGCGGTTCGGGGCAGGCCGGCAGGGACAGGGCCGCTACTGCAGTGACGGCGGCGTCTCGATTGCGGCGGCCCGGCGGCTCGGCGGCTCGGCTGCAGTGCGGCTCGGCGGCTGGACGGCTTGGCGGCAAAGGCGGCTCGGCGGCTCGGCGAGAAAGGCGGCTCGCCGGCTCAGCGGCTCGGCAGCGAAGGAGGCTCGGCGGGGCCGTGAAGGGCGGCGTCGCTGCCGCGAAGGAGCGGCGACGGGGCCGCTGAAGGGCGGCGACGAGGCCGCCGAAAGGGGCGGCGACGAGGCCGAGTAGGGGCGGCGACGGGGCTGCGGAAAGGGGCGGCAACGGGGCCACGGAAAGGGGCGGCGACGGGGCCGCTGAAGTGCGGCGACGGGGCCGCTGAAGGGCGGCGACGAAGCCGCTAAGAGGCGGCAACGGGGCCGCTGAAAGGGCGGCGACAGGGCCGCTGAAGGGCGGCGACGAAGCCGCTAAGAGGCGGTGACGGGGCCGTTGAAAGGGCGGCGACGGGGCCGCTGAAGGGCGGCGACGAAGCCGCTAAGGGGCGGCGACGGGGCCGCTGAAAGGGCGGCGACGGGGCCGCTGAAGGGCGGCGACGGGGCTGCTGAAAGGGCGGCGACGGGGCCGCTGAAAGGGCGGCAACGGGGCCGCCGAGAGGGCGGCGACGAGGCTGCTGAAAGGGCGGCGACGGGGCCGCTGAAAGGGCGGCGACGGGGCCGCTGAAAGGGCGGCGACGGGGCCGCTGAAAGAGGGAGGCGGCGACGGGGCCGCGGAAGGACGGCGACGGGGCCGGAAGGGGCGGCGACGGGGCCGTCAAGGGCGGCAACGAGGCCGGCAGAGGCGGCAACGGGGCCGCTAAGGGCGGCGCGACGGGCCGCTAAGGAGGGCGCGACGGGGCCGCTAAGGAGTGCGCGATGGGGCCGTTAAGGAGGGCGCGACGGGGCCGCTAAGGAGGGCGCGACGGGGCCGCTAAGGAGGGCGCGACGGGCCGCTAAGGGCAGAACACTAGGCGCGCCTCGGGCAGGGGACAACGCGCGCCTCGGGCAGGAAAAAAAGTTCGATCTTGGTGGGCCCTAGGACAGTTCCCACCAGGGAACCTACTCGATACCATGAGAAACTTAGAACGAGAATGAATTGACTAAGGAATGAAAGTGATGCAATTGTGAAACCCTAGAATTGTGTACCCCTTAGTATCTAACCCGCTATAGCCTACACAGGCTAGATCATATAAGTTTGACAAATATGGCGGGGGTAACCAGGCTGTTAACCGATCTTCTGCATAAGGGCGAGCAATCTGGTTGGGGGGAGAGAGAGCAGCTGGCCTTCAATGAGCTGAATAAAAATTTGAGTTCACCCCCGGTACTTCGTCTGGCAGATCCATCCCGACCGTTTGAAGTCATGACGGACGCCAGCGATTTCGCCGTCGGCGCCGTCCTCCTACAAGACTTCAGCAACGGGCTGCAACGCATCGCGTACGAGTCAAGGAAAACGCAGCCGCCCGAGCGCAACTACCCTGTACACGACAAAGAAATGCTCGCCATCGTGCATGCGTTTTGTACCTGGCACTGTTACCTCACGCGAGCCGACGTCACTATCAAGACCGACCATAAGTCATTACAGTACATGCGCAGCCAACCACAGCTCAACCTGCGACAAATCCGATGGCTCGACTACCTCGAGTCAAACTTCAGCTCCGCGATCACGTACAAAAAGGGCGCCAACAACATCGCCGACGCCATGACCCGCCCATCGATGCGGGCCGCAGCAGTACTAATCGCCCATTCCAACCCTTTATTGGCAGGACTCTTCAAGCATGGCTACAGTGTTGACCGGTTTTTCAGGACCAACCAACACCAACGGGTCACCACGGGGCATGGAAGCTATTACCTAAAAGTTGGTACCAACCGAGTTTGGGTACCTTCCTACCGACCCTTACGAGAATCGCTGACGCAGGAGGTACACGACTCCAATCTCTCCGGGCATTTCGGCGTCGACAAAACATTGAAGCTGCTGCAATGGTGGCCCGACATGGCGTGGGACGTGCAACACTACGTGTCCGCCTCCCCAACCTGCCAAGCAATGAAATCATCACGTCAACGCCCAGCTGGATTGCTGCAACCTCTCGAGCCACCCAAACGACCGTGGCAACATGTGACAATGGACTTTGTCACCGGGCTGCCAGCTGGTGCAAGTGGCAAGGACTCGTACTGGTCGTCGTCGACCGCTTAACGAAAATGGCGCACTTCGCCCCATGCCGTACGACGATCACAGCCGAAGAAACAGCGAAGCTCTTCATCTCAACCGTCGTGCGACTACACAGGTTACCATCGGCGATCATCAGCGATCGAGATCCGAAATTTACGTCGAAGTGAGAAGACTGAAACGAGAATGATTGACTAAGGAACGAAAGTGATACAAATATGCAACCCTAGAAATGTGTACCCCATATAGGCTACCCCACTATAGCCTACACAACATTATAATTTGACACACCCCCATAGGCAAAGTGGGGGAGAACAAGGGGTCACAAGACCAGTCAAGCAAAACAAAGAAAAGCTCAGGGTGGATCACAAAGTCACCACACATTCCGAGCACAAGTTCAAGGCCAGAAGGCCAGTTCACATGCAGGAACACATATATATATAACAGGCTAAACAAGCAAGAGCAGGAGTATATATATATATGTCACAGTACAAGCAAGGTCAAGAAGTGAGTAAGTGAGGCAAGACAGGTACAAGACCAAGCTGAGTACAGAAGCGCTGATGATCACAAGGCGCAAGTGCCTTAGTGAAGATATCAGCAGTGTTGGCCTCAGAGGCCACGTACGCAAGTCGCAACTGACCACGCTGCTGCAGCTCACGAGCAAGAAAGTAGCGGAGAGCAATGTGCTTCGTTCTGTGCTCCAGCCGCTGCTCCCGACACAAGGCCAGCATGGCCTTGTTGTCTACGTACAGCACTGGAGGAGAACGAGGCGGCTCTCCGAGGTCAGTCAGCAAGTAGGTGAGCCAGCAAAGCTCCTGAGCAGCCATGGCTCCTGCATAGATCTCAGCCTCACAACTGGAGCCGAGAACAGAAGACGAGCGAGTAGCCCGCCACGAAACAGAGCCGGAACCAAGGCTGAAGGTGTAACCCTGTGACGACCGCTGTGTAGCCTGGTCGTCAGCCCAAGAAGCGTCTGCGGGCCCAGTGAGGACCACTGGACTCTGCCCTCCAAGCACTAGCCCCATGCCTGACGTACTGCACAAGTAGCGCAACACCCTCTTCGCTGCAGCCATGTGCTCTGGTCTGTGTCTCCCAGGAGCAACATAGCGTGCAAGAATGCTAAGAGGGTATGCAAGGTCAGGTCAAGTGCAGGTCATCAGGTACATGAGGCAGCCAACAAGCTCTGGGTACGGGCCACTCGACTCTACGGACTCATCCGAAGGCAGAGCTGAGAGCGAGTGGCGAGTAGACAGAGGAGTGGCCTGAGGCCAGGAGTACGTGAAGCCGAAGCGCTGAAGGACCTGCTGCACGAGGTGTGACTGAGTCAGGGTAATGGTGCGGCGTGCTCTGTCCCGGGTGATCTGCAAGCCAAGGTAGCTGCGCAGTTCACCCAGGTCTGTGCACGTGTGTCTCTTCTGCAGCGCGGACTTCACGTCGGCGAGTCCAGCAGTGTCAGCAGTGGCAAAGACCAAGTCGTCGACGTACACGAGGATGTAGAACGGCGGCAGAGAGGTGTCGGTGCGCAGAAACAGCGACGGGTCAGCAGTAGAGGGAGCAAACCCAAGAGCCGCAAGCGTAGTCCTCAGTGTGTCGTGCCACTCGCGCGGTGCGTGGCGGAGACCGTAGACTGGCCGTCGGAGGCTCCACTGGGTGCCAGGATGGAAAGTCCCAGTGAAGCCAGGTGGACGGCGCAGCCAGATCTCCTCGTGCAGGCTACCCTGCAAGAAAGAAGTGCTGAAGTCAAGGGAGTGAAGCTCGTAGTCACGCTGAGCGGCTATGTGTGGCAGCACCCGAAGAGTGGTCATCTTCGGGGTGGGAGAGAAGGTCTGAAAGTAGTCAACTCCCTGCCGCTGACTGAAGCCACGAGCCACGTACCACGCCTTGAAGACAGGTGGAGAACCTGGCGGCCGCTTCACCCTGAAGATCCACATGCCACTGACGATGTTCGCCCCAGGAGGGGGAACTGCGTCAACGTAGGTGCCTGTAGACTTCCAGGAAGCCATCTCTGCATCCATAGCTGCCTGCCACTGAGAGGAGTAGGGACCCTCTACGGCCTCCGCGTAAAAGCGCGGAGTCGGGATGTCAAGTGCATCCGGGTCTCCCTCAGGGGTAAGCAGTACGGACACGAGATGAGGTGAAGCAGCAGCCAGACACTGGAACTCGTCCTGCCTGTCCTCAAGGACGTCCGTGCCAAGAGCACACTCACCCCCGACGGACGGAGGACACAGATGCAGACTCAGCAACAAGACTAGCAGCGTAGTCTAGACGACAGCGAGCAGCAAAGTCGACGAGCTCAGCAACAAGAGCAGACGCAGCAAAGGACTCAAAGGAGGGGTCAGTGACGATAGTAGCAAGGAGACGCGTGACAGTAGGACTGGCAGCACAAAGAGAGTCCGACTCCGGGTCGGCAAGTGCAGGAAGAGAGGACTCAGGAGGAGAAGGCAAAGGGGCACGCAGAGGAGCAGTGGACGGACGCAGAGACATCCGGTGCGTGCCAGGGACAGGAGGAGGACGCTGACGCAAACCGCGACCACTAGTGCGAGCAGCACAAATAGGCGACGCAGGACGAGACGCAGGCTCACGACGCTCAGCAAGACCTCTAGTAGGACCAGTGTAGGGAGAAGGAGCAGGCACTAGGGAGGCTGGCGGAAGCTGTGACTGGGACTGGACAGGCGGTGGACACTCTAAGGGAGGAGGAAGACCAAGAACCTGCTG